CCTGCCCTCCTTTTCCCCACATGGGGCCCACCTAGGCACGCTGGCAGGGTGATAAGGTGCTCTGGTCAGATGAAAAGAAAACTGAACATTTTGGCTTCATGTGGAAAAGAGCAAGTAAATAACACTGAATACACAATTCTCACTACGAAACGAGCTTAAAACTGGGATGGTTTAGATCAAAGCAGAATGGCCTAGTCAAAGCCCACACCTGAATCAAAGAGTTAAAAACTGATATTTATTGATGCTCCCCATCACGTCTGATAGAAATGCAGCAACTAAGTGCTTCTTTTATTCGTAAAACTAAAAACAAAAATGCATCATTATCTTTTCACTTTTATTACACAATTATGCGGTGATTTAAGTTCAAGAAAAATCCCAAAATAATAAATGGAAAAAGTTTGAGGTTATAACGTGACAGAAAGTGAAATAAATTAACACGTGTGGATATAAATAAATCAAGCAGAATGATGCGTACCTAAGAACAGCAGCGTTTCCTCGGTCATGCTCTCCTCCAAACGTCGCTGGTTTTCAGCTTAAAATTCTCCTTCTGCTTTTATTTCACTCAAAGCCGACGAGTTTCAAACACCAGCGGCGAAATACGTGTTTACTATAACCTCTAATACAGCTATTTATTCTGATTAACCCATCAAAATGTTCAAAAATGTTACATACAAACTTACTACGAGTGTCACTCTATATTATGTCCGTCTTTCACTCTTTCCCCAAAGTCAAGTAGTTCCGTTTCCAGTTTTCACGCGATCTTATTTTAATCTGTGTTTTTTAGTTAAAATAACACACAACGTTCTTTAACTGTTATTTTTGTACCAACGGAGTAAAATCATATATAGAAAAGAAAAATAATCCCTCAGTAACTGTTTTTGTGACATTTCACATGCTCGTCCTGTTCCGATCAAAGACATAGCGTCATTAAGATTAATCTAAACAAATGTCCATCATTATGTTTCTTTTTTTTTCTTTTTTTTTTAATGAAAACACGCGGAAGGAGTCGTCTCCGTGCGGATAAGGGAGTGACAGTGAGGGGATTTGAAAAAGTGGCGGGCTGCTCTCCATCCATTTCCCTCCTGTTTCAACAACCACAAAGGATTCAGAGGAACATCTGTCCTGATTTTAGAGTTAACATTCCGTCTCCTGTTGATCTTTACAACCACTTTCACAAAAACCAGTCTGACTGAACACAAACACTGCTTTTTAACTTTTCCTGTTAAGAAACCTATAAGGTTTCAGTTATAAAAATGTAATATTGCTTGTAAGAAAGCTATTTATCGTTTTTTGTTTGTTTGTTTTATGCAATAAAACAGTGTAGCCCCCGAAAGAAAACGTAAACCTGTGAGTGAAGTACGAACAACAGATAGCAGTGGAAATTGTTTTATTTGCTCGAATTGATCAAAAATCCCTCTTCGGATGCTTGAAAGACTCCATTCATACCCTCCGTGTTTCATGCGAGTAGACGGGGATCCTCATTGGCTCCTTTATTGGTCACGTTTGGTCATCTGGGCAGTTTAGACCAATCGCGTTGAACAAAGGGCGGGGCTTAGACTTCGGCTCCGGTTAGCTTATAAAAGCCGCGTCTCGCTACCCCCACCAGCATTGAAGACAGTCGACGTGAGAGGAAGAACTTCAACTGCGACGTGAAAACAAACCAGAACGGTAAGTCCTTTAAATTACATTTCTTTTTATTCTTTTCACTTTTTAATATCAACATTAATCGATTGTGTGATGTAAGTTACCTTTAATGCGGCTTCCAGCCAGTTGATAAACGTTGAAACCGTTAACAATAAACCAACGCGCGCCATGATCAGTTAACTCTATTGTGGTGCCAGTAAAATCCTTTTAAATCACGCTACTTGGTGTAATACTCTATAAATATGAATTTGTCATTTTCAAAGATACATTTTTATTCTGAAGTGTTTGGTGTTAGCGGTGTTTTATATATATATCTTACTAGCTTCTTTGGTAGCAAGCTGGCGCCATTTTATAACCGTCTTTGCCAGCTTCTAAATTGGACTGTAGGCGAGCAAAGAAACGTGTGTGTCCTCTGTAGCTTAATGGTGGCTCCACTGAGGAGGCTTTAACTCTGCTTTCGCATAATGTGGTCTTTTAAACAGTAGGCGCCATTTTTTTCCCGCTTTTTGTAGACATTTCTACTTCAGTAGCTTTTGTTGTTTATATTCTAGAGCTGCTTCCCCCCCCCCCAATGTATGCGACCAGATGTTATCACCTCCCCTCTGAGGTCAACCGTATTGTGTCGTTTATGTCACCTATCTTGAGTTGTATTCGGACGAATTGTAGATGAGGATAATTAAAGTAAAGTTTTATCAACAATTGTCTTCTTCTCTTCCACATTTCCGACCTGTAGTTTGTAAGAAATGGCTCGTACCAAGCAGACCGCTCGTAAATCCACCGGAGGAAAAGCTCCCAGAAAGCAGCTGGCGACCAAAGCAGCCAGGAAGAGTGCGCCCTCTACCGGCGGCGTCAAGAAACCGCACAGATACAGGTACACCGCTTTGTCCCGCACCGGAGTACAGATAAATACTGTTGGCTGTAATCTACGGCCGTTAGGGTCATTGGAGATGGACGGAAGGAGTCCATTTCTGACTAAAAGTCTAGGAAATGTAAGAGTTTGAGAAGTTGAAAATTTGCTGGAAAAAGACATGAATTGAAACGTCAAATTTTTCTAGAGAGAATTTTAATTTTGAGATTAATCTTAAGATTTTTATAGGAAATTTACATTTATGCGTTTAAATTCATATAGGAAATTTCCTAGAAAATACAATCAAAACTCTGAAAATTTTTGACTTTCTGAATTATACCTTTGTAATTATGCATACATCTGTGATGCACCAATCAGATTATTTGATTCCCTTTTTAAATAAAGTGTAGAACCCACACATGAAAGTAACCTGTTAGTGTTTGAATTTATCTCAAATTGTATAAAAACTTTCATTGTGTTTTTGCTGTCAATCAGATGTTTGATAAACTTGAAATTAATTTGAACGCTGCATCCACCATTACTGTAAGTTCAGGTTTGGTTATTAAAACCACTAAGCTTAAAGGATGAAACAAACTTCTTAATTTGTGTATGTTTATTTTATTGATGCTGTTTTTCAGGTTAAATCAAAATGTTTTGGGATTAAAAATATGTCTAATGACCATAAAATGATTTTGCTGAACAGCTTCATGAGCTACTAATCCATTTCTTGCAATATAAAATCAATTTACATTTTTTTTAACAATCATTGTTGTTCATCCTGCACTGTTCACTTTATTGTATTGATGTAGAAGATTTTACTTCCCATTTCACAAAAATAATACTTTTAGGGTAAAATTGATCATTATTTACTGGCACACTGTTCACTGTGTGTAGTCGGGTTTCTTCATGTCCAAACTTTAAATATTGCCTGTGATTTGAAGGTTTCATTCAGTGTGTGTGTGTGTGTGTGTGTGTGTGTGTGTTTTTCCAGGCCCGGTACCGTTGCTTTGCGTGAGATCCGTCGGTACCAGAAGTCCACTGAGCTTCTCATCAGGAAGCTGCCGTTCCAGCGCCTCGTCAGGGAAATCGCTCAGGACTTCAAGACCGACCTGCGTTTCCAGAGCGCCGCTATCGGAGCGCTGCAGGTCGGATATTTTATTTTTACCTCGTAAATAAATTGGGGTTTGTTTGTTGCTAATCGGCCTGTTTCCCTTCGCAGGAGGCCAGCGAGGCCTACCTGGTCGGCCTGTTTGAGGACACCAACCTGTGCGCCATCCACGCCAAGAGAGTCACCATCATGCCCAAAGACATCCAGCTGGCCCGGCGAATCAGAGGCGAGCGCGCGTAGACAAGCCAGTCGAACCTTTTTACTGGGCGGGGGGGCGACGTTTTGTAAATTTCAATTTAACAGCATGTGTGGTTTTTATTTGTAGTTTGAGGCGTGTTTTTGTACTCCACCGACTTCTGTACAACACTTAATGTTTGCTAACGTGTTAGTCTGAGCCTTTGCTATCCTGTCTGCATGTCATGAGATTTTCTTGTGCTGTAAATAAACTTTCTGCTACCTCATTTTTATTTCCAGTCCATTTCTAGCTGTAGTTTATCAGATTTATCTTGGATGCTGAAATATGTGAATTTCACAACAAAGACGGTTCTGTTAACAGTTGACTGACATTTCATGAGAATTAGAGGTTAACAGAACTGGAGGGACAAGAAAATAAAAATGTTTTTGTAGGAAAGGGATTTTAATCACCATGGATGAAAAACGTTAGAAAGATTTTGCAAATTCTTTTGAACTCAATTGAAGAAATTTTATTCAGTCAAAAGAACTGGATTTCCTTCAAAATGTTGGCTATATGTAACCAAGTTTGTTAAATTAAGTGCTAATTTTTGGTGTAGCAAAGTGAGTTTTGGTGAAAGTTTTGGATATAAAAAGGTACTTTGAGTTTGATCAGATTTCCTCCCAGACTCCACTGGAAACTAACTTTACTCCTAAACATGAAGGTGTTAAACGGGCCGGTCCAAATGGATAAAGTGATAAATATGTAACATTAGTAAATAATAAAGGTGATGGACTATAAATAATCCAGGTTGGTTTAATCAACTCACTCGCTCTGCGGTTGCTTAGCAACAACCTGCTGGTAACTGGCAGCAGTTTCAAGTTTCCCCACTTTCCCTCAAAACTGCTAAAAAAAACAACTTGAAGTGAAAACTGGGTTAAACAGTTACGGTCACACAAACAGTCTGAAAATATTTCAGATATCTAAAGTAAAAACTAATCAATAATTGGCTATATTGACTGATATGAAACTTTTACATCGTTTTTCAGTCATATCGTCCAACCTTAATCTGAATGCTGAAGCAAAGAGGCTGCATTTCTAACAATGATTTTAATTCAAGTTAATAAAAGACAACCCAACATTCATCGGACAGTAAAGGGACGGATCCATTAAACGTTAAATCAATCCACATAATTTTAACAAATAATATATTTGTTATTTATTTATAGTGATAAACCATCACTCCTCCTCGTCCTCCTCCAGGCCAGGTAAATGTTCGTACAGGTGCTTCTCCAGCTGAGTGTCGATGTCCGTGTCCGACCTCATGATGCACCACAGCAGGAAGGCAGTGAAGGCCAGGCTGATGGGCACCACCTTCCACCAGGGCCGCTCGTGCTGGCTGCCCAGGGACCGGTCCACCCTCCAGGTCCGGTGGCTGGCCTTGCTGGTGGAGAACTTGATGGGTTCGCTGCTGACCGCTTCGTTGTCTGACGACGGTTTGGACCTGGCCGGCGCCGCAGAGGTCAGCGATAGCGACCTCAAACTGTCCAGGGGGAGAAGGCATCTCGTTAGCATAATGCTAATGCTACTAGTTAGCACCAGTTGGTTTAACACATTAAAACTGTCTCTGTCCCTTTAATAACTCCTACTCTTTCTGAAGCTTCATCAGGTGATTGCTAATTGCTGCTGGCTAGTCTGAAGGAGCTGAGTGTGGGAGGGGCTGCACCTCTGAGGCGGAGCTAGGTCCACCCAGGCGTTTTCCATAGCTGAATGGTTACCATGGAGATTAAAGGATTTCTCAAACATGCATTAAAGAATCAAAGGAACAATCCAGGTTTGTTTACAACACGAGTTTTGTTTTAAAAAGCAAAACCAAGATTCAATTATAGTGTTTATTTCCTTTGTTTTTAATTAAAGGATGCTATGTTCTGGTCCAGGCCTGACAGTTACTGACGGAGTGTAAGCTGCAAAGTATCAGTAATACCTCAGAGGAATGTTTCCGGGCATAATGATGGAAAATTGAGTGGAAGAAAGAACTGTGGTAGAAATTTTATGTCATCCAAGTATCTGGATTATAATGTTCTGGGCAGGAAGGATCTCCAGTAGCAGTCAGTCTGGTAATGGATTTGAAAAAGCCTCTGACTGAAGACTGTTGCTTGCTGAGGGTTTCACGGTTATTATGACATGCTAGCAGCTAATCTTCCGAGCAGGAGAGACGATATTCCATAGAAACACGTTTGCTTTTGCTGATAAACTTTAAACATCTGTCTGGCTGTATGGTTATAAAGACGTGCAAAGTGAGGTTGATGTTGGGGAACAGGTGGCTTTAAATTCATCCATGAAGACACCTTTTCAACTCCGCTGGGATTTGAGGTCAAAGTTCAGGTATTATTTGAGCTTTTGAGATGCTAACCAGCTGCTCTTGTTGCAGTGCTTATGCATCAGATACAATTTAAGGGATAATAATCAAGCTTGACTACTAAGAAACAGTGCAATAAGAAATAAAGCAGAGGAAACGTATTTCTTTACCTTTTCTCATAAATGAAACGTGAATCATTAATGACGCTTTGATTCATTCAAAGAAGAGAGACTGATCCGAATATTAAAGTCGATTAAAACAAGAATTTGCTCGAATTCTGGTAACAAAACCCATTACTTTGTTCAATATATACTTGATATTTTCCTTCAGGTTAAACCTCAGTAGTGTGAGGGTCATTGAAGTGGCGCTGAGCCCCGGTCACAGATTTCCACTCACCCTACGGAAGCCGACGCGTTTTTAATTCGCATTCCTCTACCAAGGATCCTAGAGGTGAAACCAATGAGAGCTCGTCCTGCTGATGGAGACATGTCGGACTAATGGACATCTCCACACAACCCGCTTCTCCGGCAACCCCCGTCAGGTCATGTAACACTGCATTGTGCAACGCTGAAACGCTTCCGGGTCAGCACTGTGACTCCTGCTTCGAACCGTTCCGGAACTTTCCGTCTTTTCTATTTTCTGTCTTTCTGTTTTGGCTTTGGATACTTTGTCGTTATTTTTTTGTAGATTTTTTGAGGTGTATTGACTTAATTATGTTTTTTTCCCCTTCAATTATGCAACAAAATTATGAGATATAACAACCTTTAGGTGAAAGAGATGTGCAATGGTAGTAATAACAACAACAACAACAACAACAATAATAATAATCATAATAATAATAATGTGTGTTTTTGTTGTCTAAATAACAACAAATTAATCTAATGCTGAAGAACTTTAAATGACCAAACTTATCTGGAACCAATCAAAATATTTTAAGATTTGTGTCACTCTGATTCAAAGAGAAAATCTCACTCCTTTTTCTTTTTCTTCTTTCATTATACCACTAAATTGTTATTTATGGAGTATATAGTTTTGCAAACTGTGCTTAGAGAAAAACTTGTCAAAACTGGTTAACTTGACAGCACCTAAATGCAACAACTAGTTACCTGAAACAATGTATGGCTATCTTTTCTTTTTCTTTCTTTCTTTTTTTTCTTTAACTTTTTAACACTTGATCACTCATTAATAATTATTTAATTATCAAGCTATATGAAAGCACCAAGACAAATCCGGGTCTTTTATTTCAGGATAGTTCTTTTCAAACATAAATAAGTAAGTAAGTAAGCAAGTAACCAAGTAAATAAATAAATAAATAATCTTGTTAGTTGTAAAGAATTGTACATTTAAATTTATAAAATGGTTTGTTAAAAACCCTTCATACGTTTTCGTTTAACGGGTTGAAGTCCTTAACCAATCAGAATGCACGTAGAGACGTTTGTCCAATCACGTTCAAGCTCCTCTGGTTCGCTTCCTGGATTCGAAGTGCACGTTTTCTACTCGCCACTCTGATTCTCTTCCAGAAACAACGAGGTAAATTCAACATTAACATGTTAAAATGTAGTTTTTACTTTTACTGTTTCATAAATTTCATCTCGCTGAGATTTTAATCCATGTTCGGTTTCGTAACATTTTGGTTTGCATGAATCAGCTGATGGCAAAAGACAAGTCTTTGAAAAAAAATCCCCCCAAAAGAAAGAAATCCAGTTTTAATGAGGGAGAAGAAGCCATGGAAACTAAAACCAAGAGGAAGAGAAAACACGTGGAAGTAGAAGTGGGTAGAAACCTTTACACTCTCTGACTTTTATGTGTTTTATTGGAGTTTTAAAGGACTTTATTTATCCCAAAGGAAAATGAAATGTCATAACTCATATCGCATATCTCCAGTAGCAGTCAATGTTGCAACGATTCAGCAGAAGCCTCTGATTAAAAATTGTGACAATCTCAGCTCAGTACATTAGCATGACACAAATTACATGTTCTGGACGGTTTCAACATGATGAAATGTGCAAAGGGACATGGACACTTTGGCAGACAATAGTTTTTATCCATATAAACTCTTATATTTGTTGACTTTTGTTCAGGAAACTCCAGTTCAGATTCCATGTGTTACAAATCCAGATGAGGAAATAAGCAAAAAGGACAAAAAACTCAAGAAGAAGAAAAAGGAGGCAACAAGAGAAGCTGATTTGGATCGAACTGAGGTGAGGAGCTAAAACCAGCAAACAGTTCTGGTGTGTTTAGCTCAGTGGTGGCTACCGCTAACTGAAAAGTTAGCCTTGCTAACCTTAGTCCTTATCCATTAGTCATACACATTAGTTTACTCATAAACATTAGTTTAGTCATAAACATTAGTTTTGCTAACGGTAAAGCGCTACACCAATACAAAATTTATGATGCTAATGCGCTAATTTCTACTATGTTGACACCCACCATGTGCCAATGGCACAACATGTGTTTGTTTAAATTTCACTTGCTCAACAAAGTTTCTTGTGAGGAGAGGAAATTAACTGTGACGTATGCAGACTTCAGAATAAGAGCATGAATATAAATGTCTAACCAAAACTTAAGCGCAGATTTCAAATTTCATTAAACTGAAAGTTTACAAAACAACCAAGTAAATTAGTGCTTTAGACTTTATGTGGGAAAAAATCATTTAGGGGAAGCAAAGTGTGCCAAACATTGTCAAAGTTACGTAAAGAACCAAACATGGAAAAGCAGCACGCAGCTTCTACGCACCACAAATCTGGAACAGACATCCAGAAAACTGCAAAACTGCTGAAACACAGAGTTCCTTTAAATCAAGACTAAAAGTTTTTAGTTGTTTTGGAACCAGAAAAAATCAAACCTTGACCAACATATTTGATTTGTGTTGATAGTTTTGATTCTGGTGCTCATCAAAATGTAATGTTTGTCCTGTTTGTTAAAATCGCTAAAGGAAAGATTAGCGCATTAGCTTACATGTGCCCAGCACAGGTTTTACTTTCAGCACATTGAGATGCCATCAACTGTTGGATTTTTTTAATGAAGATTTGCTCTGGAAACTTTGAGTTTTATTTAAAAATAAAGAAATAATTCTCAGTTTTTACATCAGTTAAAGTCCTCGCTTCCTCTTTGTCCCTTAAAGAGCCTTTACGTCACAAGTCAGCATAAAGGCCTCTGTGGTTTCCGTCAGGAGGCCGTTAGAGCTGGACTTAGTGGAGGGACTCGATGTGTCGCATGTGTTATGCTGACATGTCGGTGCAACTGGAGCATAAATGTGTTTTTCCGAAGCGAACCGTTGCAGCTTGGCGCTGCGGCTTTTCTCCTGGAGGAACAGCCTCAGCTTCTTCCGAAACGTTTCGCCCAGGAAGCCGTAGATTAGCGGGTTGAGGCAGCTGTTGGAGAAGGCTGCGAGCCGGACGGCGTGGCCCGTCAGCGGGTAAAGCTCCCACAGCGTGACGGCGCCCGCCGTGTCGGCGCCACTCAGGAGGTGAACGCTGATGAAGACGTTCACTGGCAGCCAGCAGATGAAGAAGACCAGCACGGTGGCGGCGATCATGCGCAGCGCTCGCTGCCGGCGGGGCCGGTGCTGCTGGTTGCCCCGCTGCCTCTGGCTGCGCCGCAGCACCTGCGCGATCCTCCAGTAGCACACGGCCAGGATGCAGAGCGGCAGCAGGAAGCCCACCGTCACCTCCAGCCACTGCACCTGGCTGACGTTGGCGAAGCAGAAGTTGAGCTCGCCGGAGTGCTGCACCTGGGCGACGGCGAACGGCAGCAAGGTGAGCAGCACCGCGAACGCCCAGATGAGGCAGCAGCTACGGCAGGCATGTGCGGCGCCGGCGGCGATTCGGGTCAGCGACACGAAGCGGTCGAAGCTCATCCAGGTGAGGAAGAAGACGCTGCTGTACAGGTTGACCTGCTGGAAGAGGTTCATGAAGGTGCAGAGGCCGGCGTTGTCATAGTAACCCTTCTTCAGGTTGAACACCTCGATCAGGGAATCGGCCACCAGGATCAGGTCGGCCGCCGCCAGGTTGGCGAAGTACCGGTCCGGCGCCGACAGCCGGCCCCGGTGGGCCAGGTTGACCACCAGGATCAGGAAGTTCCCCACCAGGCCGACAGGAAACAGAATCAGGGTGTAAAACCCAGACAGGAAGAGGTTGATGAGGTAATGCTCGATGTTCTCCGAGGCCCGCTGGGTCAGGTTCGGCGGCACCGTGAGGTTCTCCCCATCTCTGGGATCCGTGAACATGTTTATGTCCATATCAGGCTTCATAGCCTTCCTGCGACCTTCATTTCCTGTTGAGCTCTGAAGATGGAGTCGGCTGCTGGACAGAACAGGAGGAATTTTTAAAGATTCATACATCACATTTAGATCTGAACAATAATCAGTAACGATATAAATCACGATAGACACCTGATCAAAATCAATATATGGTTCCCACAAGACTGAATTGGAAGTGATCTACGCCATCTTGGTAGGCAACGGCAGCACAAATCATAAATGAAGCTAGGCGTCGAGACCAACAAAAAGGAAATACGTTGACCAATGTGAGAGAGAAAAATACATGAACAAAATGACTGCTGTCGGGATCGACCCGTATGAGACGGAGAAGGAAAACATGTCAGACGATGTGAACGAGCTGCCTCCGACCTCATGCTACGATAACGTTAGCTACCTAGTGAGCAGGAAGAGTGCGAACAACATGGAGGAGCTTCAACTGAAATCCATACAATCAATGTTGAAACGGATTTGTAAAAGACGTCTGAACTCTTCACGTGAATATCAAGGTACTGGTGACTAGCAGAGTAAGAACATGCAGTAAGAAACACGTAGGCTAAAGCTACATTAGCTAAGCTAGTTTAGCTAGTTCTGCTGTAAGTACTACAGTAAATATCTGATATTTATCTTAGCATTACAAAGAAGGGAATAGTACTCAAAATTTAGTTATAGCTGTAATGCGCGAGAGCTAGTTCAAATCTTGTGGCTTGTTTATTGTTGTCATAGCAACTGTCATGTCAGTTACTTACAAACACCTACCAAGATCGCTGTCGCTACAAAGTTAACATCACATGAGAACTTTGTGTAGATGATACGATTGATAGATTATTCAGTATTTAGAATATTGACTGAACTCTGACCCAGAACCGCAAAGCATGCTGGGAGATGTAGGCAGAGGAAAGACTTTAGCTGACCAAACTCTCATTGCTAGCAAAGCTGGATTGGTGGAAGCAACCGACTCACTCGCTCTTTGGTTGCCTAGCAACAACCTGCTGGGTAACAAGCAGTTTCATGTTCCACCAAACTTTAGTTGCCTAGCAACAGTCTGTTAAGTAACTTGTGCAGCAGCAGTTTCACGTTTTCCCTCTTTGCCTGAAAACTGCTAAAAAATAAAAAACAACAGCAAAGATAGAAAACTGGATAAAACAGTTTGGTTGTATTTCAGATATTTAAAACAAAAAACTAATCAATAATTATCAATATCGACTGATATGAAACGCTTTCATTGTGATACTTTTTTCAGCAATATCGTCCAGCCCTGATATTAGATATTTGTTTAATTATAGATTTTCCTTTTTCTTAAGTTTGGGTAACATTAGCAGCTCTAAGCCGGTTTTATTTGGTGAGACTGGAGTAAAAAGTGTCTGTTTGGATTGTAAAGGCTGCAGATCCTTTAGATCACAGCAGATTCATGTTCTAGAATGGCCTAGTCAAAGTTCTGGTCTAAACCCTGTGTAGATCATTGGACAATTAATCATTTTGTCAGAAGGACGGGAACTTTTATCTGCAGCTGCAGAGAAATGAAGAATTAAAATGGACGCCACTCTGCTTTTCTTTCTGCTTCAAAATGAAGAAAAAAACAGAAAAACCTGAATTTGATGGTCCAGAACTTCACAGGTCGGATCAGAACTCAGGATTACCGGACCAGATTACCTAATCCCAGTTTCCTCCCAGGTTCTCACACCTCAATCTAATTGGAAGCTAATTTACTGAGTTATTCTGTTAGATTCTATTTTTTTTGGCTCAATCTCGCCTCACAAAGCAAATACCGATAAAGAACCGGGTCAGGCCTACCTTTGGGTCGGTTCTGGACGTGACGGTGAACCCAGAGAAGTGACTGCAGGTGATCCCAGGCGACATGAAGCTAAAGCGTTTTGGTGTTTACTAGCAACACCACGGCGGGCGGCGCCGGCCAGATCCATCAGAACTTCCCGCTGGTGTCGGGTCCAGTTGGGGCTTCTGACCTCTCCTCTGATGAAACTTCCTTTAGACGGTGAAGGAGATGTAAATACGGGCTGCGTGTTTACAGGCAACAAGGTGGAGGACGCCTCAGGATAATTTCATCTCATCTTTTAGTCTGCAGAGACACTTACAGACGTTTCTTCCAGTTTCAAGTTACATCAAGTCTGAAATTCATCAAATTTTACATTTATGTTGGGATTTGGAGACGTCATGTAAAACCCAGTTAGCCATAAACGCTAGGTACACTCAACAGAAATACAATATACTATTACCTTCCCAAAAATGAGATTAATGATGAATAAAAAAGCATTTTTTTATCTAAAGTGAGAATATAAAGTTAGAATCACAAAGACTAAGAATCCATTCACCACAATACAAACGATACTTTATGCTTGCATGTTTGATTATCTAGGAGCCATATTTTTAAATTGGTAGAAAATCAGAAAGATTTTCTGTTTTTCTCCCGCAGACGATGAACTGATGTTGACAAGTTTATGAAATTGAATTTAAACTGAAAGTGAGAAAACATTTTTCTTACTTAAACTAAATAGAAACGGTAATTATTGGAGAAAACCAAACCAACTGGACCTAAATATGTTTATAAAACTAACAGATAATACCCTTTGTTTTTGTGTTTTATAAATATTTTTATTAGCCTTTCCATTTGTTGTGAAATAAACGTTTTAATCCAGCAGCAGTTTACGTCAGCTGATTACGTTTGGGAGAAAACTCCTGTCGGTTGGCGGTTCAACAACAATAAATACATTTTTAATGTATTTTCTCTTCACCCAGTCAGTGTTCACATAATCATAATACTTTTAACTTTTTGAATTATGCATCTAAAATCAACCAAAGTAAAAAAAAACCTAAAGATTTAACTAATAATAACTTTTAATGCAAACTGGAAAACACATTTTAAGAACTAAAACTAACTGAATTAGACAAAATAAAACTGAACTCTAGAGGAAGAGTTAAACTATGATAACCCAGGACGTTGGAGCGTAAATGAGACCCAGTTCTGGTTCCAGCTTGTGTAACGGGTCGGCTCTGTTCCTGGAACCGGCCCGGCTTCTGGAAACAAACCAGTTTCAGGACAGAGCTGAACTCACGCTGACCAAATGTTTCCAAGCTGCACAGATTGTTCCTGCCGTTTCTCTAAATGGGCCTTTTGTGTTCAGTTTTTAAGAACCACAAGGTTCTGAAAGGACGGTTCTGTTGTCGGGCTTCGAGACCCGGCCAGGAGTCTTTCTTTCAAAATCACGTCTGTCAGAGAAACCGGTCAACTTAACCGAGTCTGGTTTCCCACCAGCTTTAACCCGCTCCGGTCCGTTTGCCCAGACGGTCCGGTTCATTTTGGTGAGGTGTGAATGCTAAGCTAACTCTGGACCTCCAGACCTCGGTCTGGGTTCGGTTGAAGTGAACTCTGGTTCGGTTCAAATGCATATCTGAACGCCAAGTGGACTTAATGAAGATCTGTTTACATAAAAAATAATCACAGCAACAAATTCTGCAAATGTTCATCATTTATTTATTTGAATAAACTTTTAAACAGCAGAAAACATCTTTGGTTTCAGATTTTTCAATCTTTCATGAAATGAAAATAAAAATGGACGCTTAGAAAGTGAAAGGAAACGTCCACAGAGTTTTAATCTGTCGGATGCCAGTTCTGATTCTGCTTGGATCAGTTTGTAGATTCAAGGTAGCAGCTTTCCCACCACTTACAGCCTTTACAGCCCCTCCCCCACATGTTGCTGCCAGAGAAAACAGCCCAACTAAAGTTACTAACAGCTAAAGTTAGCTTGTTTAAAAATAGGAACCTGAGGTCTGTTCTTTCTGAACCAAAGACGTTTCATCTCAGGCTGCGTTCACACAGCGGGAAAATGTCACCAAAAATCAGTTTGTTTTGTTTGTTTGTTTGTTTGTTTTTTACTTCCATATATTTAAATTTGATCCCTTTGTCTCTTTCTTATGTTGAAGTGGATTTTAAATCTTCACTCCAAAAACACAAATAAAGTATATTTGGTCTAGTTTCCAGTGCAAATATTTCAGTACAGATGGAACAACAGAAAACTAAACTATGGATGTTTGTTGGGGTAGAAATGTACAGTAAAGTCTGTCATGACCTTGTTGAGGCCCAAATGGAAGCATAAAAACATGGAAAACATGAAGTTTGCATCATAGTTCCCTTTAAAATCGGCGGCGGCCATGATTACTTCTGTAAACAGAGCGCCGTTGTGACGTCAGTGTTCTTCTTCTGCGCTTGCAGTTTGCAGAAACAGATTTAAAAAGATGGCAGCCTATGACTCCATGTCCTGCAGCGTGTCTGTGATCTCGATGTGCGGCGCTATGATGTTCCTGTTGGGCTGAGCGCGGCCGGGCCGCCGGCAGCAGTCCCGCAGCTGCCGCAGCGCCCCCTGCAGGCTCTCCCGGCTCGGCCGGTGCAGCAGCAGCACCAGCACCATGCTGCCACTGCTGCCGGAGAACAGGACGCACTCCGCTACGGTCAGAAAGGCCCGGTCCAGGCGCCTCTCCTGGCCGTTCTGGACAAGCCCGGCCGCCCGTAGCAGCACCGCGCAGTGGAACAGCTGGCAGAGGAAGACCAGCACCGTGACGGTCAGAAAGACCGGACCTTCCTCCGAGCCCGACAGGAAGCGGCCTTTCGATCGCCACTGCCGGACGCAGCCGCTGACCAGAAGTCCAACCTGCAGGGTGTAGGGAACCAGGACCACCAGAGAAAGCTTCGCCGCTGCGTACGCGATCCCGGCCGGGGCCGGATCCATGATGCAGTCCTGCCCCGGCGGCAGGCCCCGAAGCCCTGCCAGCAGCAGGCTCACCGCCACCGAGGACAGCAGCACCAGTGCCGCGCAGACCGTCGGCTTCCGCAGCGGCGCGTTGGACGGCGGGTCCAGGGTGAGGACGAACGCCATCAGCACCAAGACCAGAACGCCGCAGAGAGACGTGGCGTTGACGCCGAAGGAGAGCGCGGCGCAGCCCAGCAGTGAGTTCGGCATGTATTTGGGTCGGTGCGCCACGATGTGGAGCGACAGGAGCAGCAGCAGCAGCTGGAGGCCGCAGAAGACCCAGAGGAGGCAGTCGAGCCAGGCCAGCCGCCGCTGGGCCCGGAAGGTCTGGACGAAGCTGAAGACGACGAAGAAACCGGCGCAGAAACCCAGCAGGGCCACGGCGCTGTAGACCTGGTTGGTTCTGGAGGTCAGGCCATCGGCGGCCGTGATGTCATGGACGTCATGGACGTAGGTGTTGGTGGTCCCTGAGCTGGAGGTGAGGGCGGCGGTGGAGCTGAAGGTGGGGATGAAGGTGGTGTTAAAGGTGGGGCTGGTCGGGTAGGAGTCGGTGGTCGGGTCAGACTGGAAGCAAACAAAATCAGACGGTAGCGCTGAAACGATTAATCGCGATTATTCATCATGATTGCAAAGTGTTTCCTGATTTTCTCAGTTGACTGTGTGGTGTCTTCTTGACTTTGTGTTTTTATGATGAAGCTTTGAACTGAAACCTGCTATACTGACATAATCAATCAGGTTTGTTTGTATTTATTTTATTTGTATAGCACAAGGCAGTTCAAAGTGCTTTACATCATAAAAACACAAAATTAAAAAAGTCAAAAAAAACAGTCGACAACTAAGAAACTAGTAACAAATATGATATTTAGACGAGTTCCATCATCAAAATCATCAAAACACGTCAGAAATGTTGGTCAGTGTTTCATTTATTGTTCAAAGGCAGCTCTAAGCAGGTGGGCTTTTAGTCTGGATTTAAAGGAAATCAGTGTTTCAGCTGCTTTGCAGTTTTATGGAAGTTTGTTCCAGATTTGTGGATTAATTAACTGGTGTGTACAGACTCTAAAAGAGGACATTTTTCTTTTTGTTTGATTGCATAAAGGAGGGTTTGGTGGTTAATCAAAAAACCTACAAATTTCTGATATCCAATTAATAGACAAAAAAAATCTATTACTAAAATAATCGGATTTGTTGTGGTAAAATGATTGAAATAATCAACTAATTTAGTAATCGATTAATTGCTTTTAATGTTTCTCTTTTTGTTTTGTTTTTTTGCTTAAAAAAGTTTAAGTAGTTAACTGAAAATCTGAAGAATGTCCCAATTTCTTATATTTGATTAATCAGTAATATATTAATCAGCAGAATAATTAACAGAATAGTCAGTTATTCTTACAATCAATTAATAATCAGAATAATCAATATAACAACCGATATTTTGACAATTAATTGTACGAATAACTTATAGGATAATCGATCAGTCCGACTTGTCAGTTAATCATCAAGATAATCGATTAATCATCAGAATAACTGATTTCTGATGTAATCGCTAGCTCTGGCTGTTGGTGTTAGCATGAACTTCCACAGCTTGACAGGAGCTTCCTCCTCCGGTGCGAAGGAGAAAAACCCAAACATCACCGTTCCCTGAGAGCCGTTCCCCACAGGACGCCTCTCTCTCTCTCTCTTCCTGAATCGGGTGAAAACTAAACGGACTCTGATTAGGAACCGGTTTCCACTCACCATGTTTTCGCTCCTCGTCTTCTCGCCTGCTAGAAAACGGCGTTTAGCTCTGCAGATGATGCTGGTGGCATGGCCCCGTCTGTGGGCAGTTCCCCCGCTAGCATACTTTCAGAATGACTTCGGCACCATGTGACCTAAACTTCCCCTCCCTTTGGTTTGCCATCATCACAGCTGAGGGCTGTAAAATCAGAAACACACTGCCTGCCCCATCCAGACACAAGAGCAGGCTTTGCCTTCAGAGAGTTTCTGCAGAGACTCAGGAAACCCGGTCCACAAGTGACAAAAAGTTGAGGGTATTTTTAGCCGACCAAGCGTTTCTGTGCGTTGCCAGATGTTGAGAAACAAGCAACCAGCTCTGTGAACAGAAGCTCAGCTACTTGTAAACATCATGCATTTACACATTTAATGTAAAAAAGGAGGATATAACAGAAGTTAAATAGCCAAATATCGACTATTTATCCACTAATCAGGAGAGATCAGACTGGTTTAAAGCAGCAGTATTCTGTAAAATCTATTTTTTATCCTCCCATCGTGTTTTAATGTTTTTCTCTCATCAAAAACAAACCTGGAGTTTTGCTTTTATTTTTTCATGTAGGTTTGAGAAATCCTTTCATTTCCATGGCAACCATTCAGTTGTTAAAACGCCTGGGTGGACCTAGCCCCGCCCCCGAGGCGCAGCTCCTCCCCCACTCAGATCCTTCAGACTAGCTAGCAGCAATTAGCAACCAGCTGCTGAGCTCATTGTAGGAGCTGCTGCTCAGAGCGACGCTGGTAAAAACGTTAAAGGGTTAATAGAGGAGCCATGTTGGGATGACTTTCTGGAGGCGGAGCTTCAGGAAGAGCAGGGGCTTTTAAAGAGACAGAGGCCCAATTTCAAGGCATTAAATCAGGAAGTGGCATTTCTTTTAAGTCATGTTTGATATATGTTTAATTTTTATAACAACTGAAGTTAACATAGTTACTTGATTATAATGTAAAATGTCACTATTTAGCTGCAAAGTACATTACACTGCCCCTTTAATGATTACAACAGTGTAAAAATAAACAACTTACTTTAGGATTTTTTTGTGTTTTTATATGTGTTCCACTGTTGTCTGGAAAACCCTAAATAACATTTTAGTTCTCAGGTTTTTGGTTAAATTTTTTCTGTAAGTCAAACAGAAGCCTCCAGGTTTTGTTACGGCCCTCAGATGGCTTTCAGATCTTTGACATTTTATTTTTTATCTTGAAGATTACAATGGCATGTAGCCGTGCGTCTTTCTGGATGCGTTCATTCATGTCTGTTTTCACGTTTATCACGCAGCCCAGATTAGTTTGATGGTTGCAGTTAAATTTATTGTGAGGAGCTGAGAGATAATCTTTATTTTTGTTTTGTTCAGAAAGAAGGTTAAGCTCAAATCAGCAACTTCATGTTCAAAAACAAGCCCAAAAAACAACTCATTAAATTTCTAAGCGACTTTGGGAGGAAGCAAAGCCAAAGTGGTTGGTGAAAGCAGACCTGACACGCTGCTGTGGAGCAGCGGCAGGAAACGGCCCTCTGAGCTGCAGCGCAACAGGAAGTGATTCAGACTTAGAACGGGTTTGTTGGCCTTCTGCTTTGGAGCTCAAAATGTCACCATTTATTTTTGCTTCCAACTTTCAGAAACAGAGAAAAAATATGAATTTTCTGTTTTCAGAGCCTGTCCTGCTGTTTAGAGCTCATGTGATTTAAAATACTTTTTCTTTCAACCTTGTGTGCAGTCAGTATCTTACTAGGAAAATATTTTAAAGGATATTTTCAATGTAAAAAAGCACAAGTATGGATATATTTGATTAAATACAAATGTTTTATGCACTTTATATTACATTTAAATTACTTTTAATTCTTAAAAGATGAATTTGATGAATTTTGACATTTTTTTTACAAACCCATTTAATGAATTATAATTTTACTGAAAGCCCCTATTTGTTTCAGAAACTTCATCACTAAGTTAAATACACCATATATATTAATTACAAACAGATGGATGTTTTAACGACTATTTCTGCTATGATTGTGATTTTACACTTACAGGTAATAAAAACATGACATTTAAAAATATAAAATCATATTAAATCAATTAAAAACCCAATTAAATCAGAAATGTGGGATTAATAAAAAGGATGTTTAATACCTGCTTCAAATTCAAAGACAACGGGAAATGAAATGAATGTTATTTTCAAAAGGTGCTTTTACAAACGATGAATGGGCAAACACGATCACTTCTTCATGGAAATCGGCCGTAACTGATCGATGGCCGATGAATCAGATCAACACCAGTCTGAGTCTGAATGGTGAAATCAAATTAATGCTTCTGACCTCCATGGCAGCTTCCTGAGGAAGACGGGGACTCCGAAGGACCTTTGACCCCTGAAGAGAAACGGGTCCTGGAAAGGAAGCTGAAGAAGATCCGGAAAAAGGAGGAGAAGAAGAAGCTGAAGGAATCCGGACGGGCCGACCCAAAACCCGCAGAACCCGGACAGAGCGCATCCAAGCTGGCTTTGGACTACCTCACATGGTAACGAGGAGCTGAAATAAACCGGGCTGTGATTGGTCAGATGATATTCCAGGTTAGAATCTACTAACTCACGCCCTCTCTGGTTGCCTAGCAACCTGCTGGGTAAGAAGCAGTTTCAAGTTCCCCCAAATTTCAGTTACCTAGCAACGACCTGCTGAGTGACTAGAGCAGAGACGGTTTCAAGTTTCCCCTCTTTGCTTCATAACTGCTAGAAAATTAAAAACAAAATGGAGAGAAACTGGATAAAACTGGAAAAGTTACGCAAAGAGTTTGGCTGTATTTCAGATATTTAAAACGAAAAATGAATCAATAATTATTGATATCAACTGATATAAAACAACGTTCTGACACCAGAACGAAGCTTTTGAGATTTTATTCTTTTTTCTTTTTCTCTTTCAGTCGAAGTAAAAAGAAAACCTGGAGATGTTTGTTCTGATAGATGCTCGTTCTGTACAGACATCAGATCTGTTTGTCCTGTAAATGTATTTTTTAAAAAGATGTTTCTATTTTATTCCACTTATTTGCTGTGAAGTTAAGTTATACAAGTCAGCCAAATTAAAATGCAGTTTATACAAATTAAAGTAAAAGAGCAGATTGACCAGATCGTGTCAGCCGATGCTTCTGGACCAGAGAATGAGATCTGGTGTTTTTGTTTGTGACCCTGCAGCTGGGCCGAGAGCCGTTCGGCCTGGAAGTTTCAGAAGATCCGGCAGACCTGGTTACTGCAGCACATGTACGACTCCGAGAAGGTAAATAAAGATAAAAAGAACCTCATCTGCAGTCTGGACCAGCACAGGCGTCAACTTCCTGTTTGCTTCAGGAAATGAGCTCATTTCTACAACTTCCCCTGGAAACTTCTAAATATTTTACAAGTTAAATTTATTTTTTACAGGGGCGCTATTATTCGAAAGCAACTATTTTGATCTTTCTTTTGATGTTTTAATGTTTATTCCTTCATCAAAAACAAACCTGGAGTGTTGTCAGTACATATCGGTTATCGCCTATAACTGTCTCAATTTCAGTTGATACATTAAGAGATTCAAAGTGGTTTCAAAGGGATTGTCAAGTTTACTTTGTAAAAGTGCAAAGAATAATATTAATTGTTTGATTGTCAAGTTACCATAGTTACAGTCAGAGGTTTAGTCCTTTCCTTGTATTTAATCTCAGCTTGTTCACTAATACAAGTCAGCAAATAAAAAAAACGCAATCTGGAAGTT